CTTCCTTCCTTCCTTCCTTCCTTCCGTCCAGCGCAATCACTACCTCCTCCTCCCTCACCCTCTTCAACGCCACCACCACCTTCTCCTCCTTATCCTCCACCTCGCTCGCTCGCTCTCTCTCTCTCTCTCTCTCTCTCTCTCTCTCTCTCTCTCAATCACTTCTATCTCACTTGCGACAATTTCTCAATGACTCTTCTCCGTCTCTCTTTCGCGAATTATGCTCGCATTCACTGATTATCCTCCTGCTTTGCCCGTGTTCGCGATGCCACTCGAAACTCCTCCTTTCTTTCTTCTTTTTCTCTCTTTGCCGTTTCCTCGAGCGGAGATATGCTCTCGACTTCTTTTATCCTATCGCGCACTTTGCGATACAACAGGCACACGTTGGTTCTGTACAACGTTGTATACGTATCGTCTATAGCGCGAGCGTGTACTGTCGATTAGCTACTACAACAGTGTGTTGAACTCAACGTTCTTTTTTTCTTTCCTCATCGTACGCGCACGCGGCCCTCCCAGCTCGCCCGTGGACGCATAACGAACAACAGAAAGATACACATACTCAGGGTGCGTGCGTACGACTGTCCGAGGAAGAGCGAAAGAGCGCTATTGGTTGATGGTGGTGGTGGTGGTGGTAGTGGCGGCGGTGGCGGCAGTGGCGGCGGTGGTGGCGGTGACGGCGGCGACGACGGCGGTTCGAAAGGCGGGGGAGCGGTTGAAGAGGGAAAAGTTTCGACGGCGACGGCGACGACGACGACGACAATGACGACTACGACGACGACTACGACGACGACTACGACGACGACTACGACGACGATTACGACGGCAACGCTACGATAGACGATGACTATGTCTACGACGGCTATGACTACCACTACCACTACGACTACGACGACGATGCGAATGAAGGGAGAGGGGCAGGGGAGGAAAAGCAGAAAGAGCTAGCGAATGAATGAGAATCGTCAGTCAGCAGACAGACGGATAGACAGACCGACACAGGTAGATAAATAAATTAGATTAATGAATAGATAGACAGACAAGGTAGGTAGATAGGTAGAAATTGATAGTTGGATAGGGGCGGAAGAGAGAAAAAATGATGGCATGAAGGTGAGCGAGAGGGTGAGGGTGGGTGAAAGAATGATGATAAGAGAAAGGAGTGAGAAAGATAGAGATAGAGATAGAGATAGAGATAGAGTGAGAGATAGAGATAGAGATAGAGATAGAGATAGAGATAGAGTGAGAGATAGAGATAGATAGAGATAGAGAGATAGATAGAGAGAGAGAGAGAGAGAGAGAGAGAGAGAGAGAGAAAGAGAGAGAGAGAGAGAGTGCGAGGAAAGAGGAAGAGAAGAACCACCAGAGCGTAATAGGTTTAACGTACATAATTTTTTTTTTTTTTTTTAATGAAAGTGCATATAGCAAAGTCCTTTGCGATGTGGCTCTTAGTTCTTGCACGTGCTTTCACGGGCGTAGCCTTTATAAAAATTGTATGACTCCAGAGGTCAGCAATACGAAACTTCGTGCAATATTGTTTTTGTTTCAATTTCTGCGTGCTTCTTTACTTTTCCTTTACGCTGCCGTTGTCTTTGTCGTCGTTGTCGTTGTCGTTGTCATCATCGTTGTCGTTGTCGTTGTCGTTGTCGTTGTCGTTGTCGTTGTCGTTGTCGTTGTCGTCGTTATCTTTGTCGTGTTGTTATCGTTAACTTTTTGCAGTTAGAAGGGAGGTAGCACTTCCAAACAGTGGAGTTGTTTAATAAGTGCGTAATCCGGTTACTATGGTAACTAGATTGCGCCAATTTCGAACTGTGTGAATATTATATTGAATTCCATTATTCCATCATCCATCAATGTATATGTAAAATTATCTAATAATATATGCATTATATTAGATTTTCAGATGTATTTTTCTATCTACACGTTAGTTAATAGAAATGGTTTTTGGCATGACTGTATTTTTATACAATTAAAATTATGAGATATTTGTTAATTTTCTTATTTGTGATACTTATTATTATCATTTTAAGCCTAACATTATGTTTATATTTTATATATAACAAATAACTTTCCTCGTACATCGACTGAAGATTGTTTTTAATTTTTGAAAAAATTAGTTACATTTCCAAATTTGCCAATATAATTTGTTCGATAATTTTAGAACACTAAAATATATTTTTATCAACTTCTGTATAGTTCTACATTTTATTTTTATTATTATTTGGACAATTAGTTTGCCCAACTAATTTAATACTTTTGCCATTTATTTTACAAAGAATATTTGAATTTTATTTTAATAATCGATTTTTATTTATTTTACTTTTAAATTATTTTTTTTTCTTTGTAATAAAATATTCATAATTAGAGCTGTATTTATTTATTTATTACTTTGTGTTTGTAATTGGTATAAAAATTATTTTTAAAACTTAATCTAATGTAATTGTTTCATCATTTTTGTTAGTACGAAAACTTTGAGAAATTATGATATTCACTTATTATTTTACTAATAATATATTTTTAAATTGTTGCTTGAACGTAATAAACTTTTGTGGGCAATGTAATTACGCTTGAAAATTTAAATTAATAATATCAAAAATTTTGGAAAATGACATGCTAACTTATAATTAAAATCTTTAAACCAGAATATGTAGTAAACGATAGGTATTACATAAATTAATTTTTAAAAAATATGTTTATAGAATTCCTTTTTATTTGCCTTTATACGATAAGAAGATTTTTTTTTTTTTTTTTTTTTTTTTTTTTTTTTTTTTTTTTTTTTTTTTTTTAATATATATTTACGGAATACAATGTTTGCTTTTGTTACTTGTCATGTAAAACAAATTAGGAGGTGGAAATTAATTTCATGCTCATTCCAGCGTAAAAGCGTGAAGTTGTATTTATTTTTTATGATATGTTGAAAGTAAATCTTGTAATTTTAAGTAATAAGAGCGGTGGTGCATATATGAATCGAATATACATTACAAATTAATATCCTATAAAATTACTTTAAATAATGCATAGTCATTATAAACAAGTCGATTAAATTTTTCTTTTCAATATGTTAATAGAAAGGTAAGAGAAAAAGAAAAAGGACGAGGAAATAATTCTTATATTAATATAGTATTTTATATATATTCAGGAATAAATAATTCAGAAGCATCTTCCTTCTATATAGGATAAAAGAAATTATAAGATATATGAAATTGCTTATAAACTAATATCTAATAGAAAATTGTCCCAATAATATTTATTTATTCAGTATTATGACGTACTGATGATTTTTTTCATCAGTCATTTTACAATGACTTTTTGTGCTTAATATTTTGTGCATTAGACTGGAATTTTAAATGGCAAAGAATACTCTTGTTTGAAACGATTTCAAAATCTTTCAAAATATAATATACCATACGTCCGCTTTAATAATGATGTTATTTCACACATTCATACGAACAAATTATTTCATATTTTATCATAGGCCTATTTTTATTTATTTATAATTATTTTTTCTTTTTATTTATGCTTATATGTTATTTGACTGAATTTTACATTTTAATTAAATGTTGCATATTCCTAAGTCAATAAATAGGGCTTGGATTATCAAATAACTTTTTTGGAATAAATAAAAATAAATTCTGCCTAGACGTTACGCCTAGACGAATTAATATTGACCTTATTACGAACAATAAATTGTTTGAGCTATTATTACTTACCAAAATTATGTCTATAAAAATTAATATCTGAAACAAGTTAGTACGTAACAACGCGTATGAGCTAAAATTAATAATAATTATTTATATGAGTATTATTTGTATGAATGTTTATTTCAACGATTTAATAATTACAATATCCTGGTTAAAAATTAAAAAATATCATTGTACGTTACTCGTTTTATTATGAAGTGCTAATTTTCATATTTATAAGCACGTTTAATTTGTATTTAATAACAATTCATTTCAACTTTCTTACCTAATATTTTATTTCTATTATCTTTGAATACTCTATTTTATTACTTTATTAAAAGGTATTAATTATAATTGATTAAAAGTATGTGCTTATTTTCTCAATACGTGTATACTAATTTCAAAGAAAAATATAAATCCATCTATTTATGTTATTACAGTATTTTTTTTATTTATTTTTATTTTTTTTTCCTTTTTCATTTTATATATTATTGCTTTGCACATTATATGGTTTTTATATAGCAATATTCACGTCTACAATTTGTAAGGATTCAATTTATAAAACATAATATAAATTATAAATAATAATTTTATTTTAAAAATTTTTTAAATTTTATCGATTAAAGCGAAATGTATTTTTAATGACGTTCACTGGACACGAAAAAATTAAATACTTTAATATCGTTCCGGCAAATATTTAACGAGAAGTTATGGTTTTATCTGAATGTGACTTTCAATGGGAAACAAATTTTCCTCTACAAAAGCGTAATTTCACAATATCTAAATACCACAAAAATACCCAACATATAATGAAGATAAGCGGTAATTATTAATTAAAATCTTTCAAATCGCCCGTGCCCTATAAGAAGTATCATTTTTCATTTAGGGAATATTAGTATTTCGATAAAAAAAAAAAAAAAAAAAAAAAAAAAAAAAAAAAATTTTTTACTATAGTTTTACATTATTTTACATATTTGGTATTTGCTTGTAGTTGTTACGCTGTCAAAGCAGTATATTACAGAGAGGTACGAATTACTCGACCGACCATTGCAATTGATGTTCTTAATATATTTTATCACCAAGGGAGTATCTAAATTTACACTGTATTCTATTTTATATTACATTAAATTTTAGTCATACGAGCATTTGCGCATTATTGCAAGCATTTGCTAATATAATTCATTGGGCCATAAAGAATTTAGCACAAATTTAGCGATGGAAAGTAAAGCCGTCGTCGATTTGCTACCATTAGCCCTCCTCATTATCACAATTGCCTATGACTAACAGCAAGTTTTTAGTGGATGAAGTTGAAGGATCCATGCCCTAATTTCATGGAATATCTTATGTCGAAGTTCCTGGTAAGCGCTGCCACGACTCTTGTCTCTATTTTAAGCAGCTTCCTTTTCTTCAGAAGTTTTCGAGTTCTTCTATTTTCATAATCACGTTGATGAAACCTATTAATATCGGTATTTATACCGTCGGTAGTACTTAAGATAATTGAGACATATAATCGCTAAGCTCGCGCAATAAATATGAAAGAAAGGACTAGATAAAAGGAAGAGAAAATTAATTTTTTTATCCTCTAGATGAGTGTCGCGTTGCTGGGGTGGAGGGGAGGGGAGGGGGAGGGGTTTAAGTAAGGGGTAAGGGCAATTTATTAAATTTGAATTAATGGTTCGCGAATAAAGCGAATAAAGTAATACCGCCCTAACGTGTTACGTCGATAATAAAAATTATTGTGCCGATAGATGAATGAAGAGGTTCGTTTTTACAAGTAAATACGATATATATTATCATTTTCCGAATTTATATTACCTTAAATAAAAGAAGTCGTTGGAAGAGTCATATCGGTTATAATACAACTGATGCGATAACAACAAGTACAATGTGCTTAGGCATTTAGGATAAGGTGTATTCAATTTCCTTGTGGTGACATTAATGTTACTTGCCCGAGCCACTTTACGCCTTTCTCTACGTTAACGAAAATATTTTTTACATCCAATCGATATTCACTTACTGCACACACATAATGCCCCTGCTTATTATACGTGGAAATTGTAGGTGTAGCTTGCTAAGCGATATAAATATCCATACGTGGAAAATGCGACCGTACACCCAATGACACGATTAACTAATTAATAATGCAAGCGCGTATGTATCGAAAGACATAACGTTAATGTATAATGCCGTTGTAGATCTTATCTGGAGCTCTACTTCGAGGTTAATAATTGTTAATAATTATAGCGTTTAAGAATTAATAATAATGCAGTATATATATATATATATATATATATATATAGATGTCGATTGGCTAATTAATTACAATCGTGATAATTAACGAATATTTTGAAGTTATTGTATGGTTAATTTCTATATGAACACCGTCCACACAATTTGTGCTTACGCTTTGCGCTTTTTAAATCCAGTCCATGATAGTGAGATTAAAAAGGTAACTTTCATTCCTTTTAATATTATGCCACTGAACATCGGCAAAATCTTGAATGTTTTCTCGTCGACGACAGTATCGTTGCTATTTCATTCGATCGATTTCATTCAACTATGAGAGGGTAAAATTTTACAATCACTGTCGAATTTGTCACGTACGATCTTGTCTTGTCTGCGGATAATATTTGGACGAGAGTCTTGGAAGCGACGATTAAAAGCATCGGCCAACCATGTATAATCGATATATCATAACATATATAAATTCTATATTGCAGTTGTAAATATTCTTTTTTTTAATTGAAAAATAAAATATTATATTTAGCGAATATACAATTTAAGGAAGTTGAATATGTATTGGGATTTGTTTAAAGTGTAGCCCATCTCGTCCATTCATGCATTATTACAATGATTTATTAATGTGTTCTTAATTTATAATGTTCTTTCAATTTCACAAGATATACATTTTTTACTAACAAGTAAAACTTTTTCTTACTTAATAATAGAGTCATTTAGCATACTGAAAATAATAATACATATTTTTTATATGAAATCATCTATATACACTTAAACTTGATTAGATTAATTATTATTATTTACTCACTTAATTCTTTTTAACGATTACATTCTTTTTTAAAAGATATTTAAATCAATTGATTTTAAAATCATAAATTGATTATAAAAAGTTATAGTATGCGAATATGCGTATGGTTAAAAAAAAAAAAAAAAAAAAAAAAAAAAAGAAGAAAAAAGTTAATTCCTGCTCTTTTATTTACAGTTGGTCTTTTATTTATTTGAACGAGACAGGTCGTCGATCGTCATTATTAATGAAATATGGAGCGCACAAATGCAACGACAGTGTCAGTAATTTAAGTAAATGAAAACTGCTATATATACAAACTTTGTCATTCATATAAAAGTTAAGCAATAAAAAATAATAATAAATTATAAAATTTTTTTCTCAATAAAAGATAAGCTATTTATGGGAGAAGGATCAGTTGTATAACAAATATCATTAATATATTTATTATATAGAAAAACGAAAAAGAAAAAAAAAAAAAAAAAAAATTAGGGATAGAATTACATAAAATTTTAATAATAAATACATAAAAATTGTAATATATTATGATAATTATTTGCTTGTAAATTAAATTTGTTTTAATAATTTTAAATCGAAATATTTTCGAATATAGTGGATATTTTATGAAATTATAAGTTTAAATTTTGCATTTGCGTTCTGAAGAAAATAAGTAGCAACAGTAGCAATTGTATATTTTAAAAAGTATACAAATAAATACAAATAATTACAAATACTTTTAACTGCATGAAAACAACAACAACAACAACAACAACAACAACATTATACAAAAATATTTATCTATACGTATAATAGCAGAAAATGTATTTATTATATGAAAATGAATTTCTTATAATCTTTTTAATAAAGTGCTACGTTACACTTTATTTAATTATTATATTTTATTCAATTTAATTACCGAATGCTATATTTAGATAAGTAAATAATAAAGGATTTCTGTATGCTAATTAAAATTTTATGAAATATATTGTGCAAGAGAAAAAAAATTTCCTATTAGCGCAGAATAAATATGTAAATAAATTATTATTACTAATATGTCGTTATTATTGATTGTTTTATTTAAAGCGCTTCGAAGCCATTTGAACGTTATTCAGGAGCCTTCTGACATTCTATCCGAATGCTCGATAACATATTTATAATATATATTTGAAAGTAATAAATAATGAATGACGTTTTTGAATTAATATAGCAAAGATAGATGTGAAATAGATAAAGAAGCTAGCTATCGCTCGAATGAAATTTACATTAAATTTATCACCACAAAATCAATGATTATCTGTAAGCAAATACATATCTGTATTGCTCAAATATTGCAATATTTATTATTATTATTATTATTATTATTATTATTATTTATTTATTTATTTATTTTTTTTCAATATAATTTTAAAGTTGAAGTTTCACCGAACGTGGAATTTCCTTTAATTTTGAATAGGCTTACTCTACAGCCTTTGAATCCTCGTATTGCGGCTAAAACACAAAGATAAGAGATTTAAATAGTTATATATAAACAATAGTTAAAGCTTTATCGATTTATTTAAAAAAAAAAAAAAACAAAAAACAAAAAAACAAAA